GCAGATAGAGTCATTGATTTGAATGTTTTGGAGGTCTCGGCTTCATAATGTGGTCTACATCTGCTGCAACAACAAGGCAAATTTGTGTGCAGACTTTGTCAGAAGATATATGTGCATCTTGTCATAAGAAAATACAATAAATAAAAAGTACCAGAGACAGTGTGGTTGAATGATATTTAGCAAATTAAGGGTGAATCAATTTAATGTGTTTAAAGAGTCTCTGCATGTGTTTGAATACAAATTATATTTGTGTTGTTAGTATGAAAAAGGAGAACACAAACGGTCAATTGCATCAGTTCACACAGAACCTACTTGTTATTAGCATGCATTGGATTGGAAAGTACAACAAATGAAACTCATGCAGAGACTGCGGGTGATACAGTTGGTTGAGATTCCCAATGACATTAAATTGTTTCATTTTAAAAATTTACAATTCACCATGAAAAACACAAACGCAGACAGTTATTTGATGCTCTCTAGGTTGCCTGCTACAACAGTCATCTATATTTATGAGTAACAACAGCCATGTGTTTTATTGGTTGGACTTTGGTTATGTTGTTCCAGAGATTCTTTGGCATTAAATCTCCAAATTAATTCATTGGCTTCAAAATGGGTCTATACTAACAAAATCTGCAGACACCTTTGCTTTCTTGTCGCAGCAGATAATACAATTAAATTTAAATTTGTCTTGACATTATAACTCAGTACGCATGCATGAGTATTGAACTAAAGAGTTGCAATGTCTTTGAAGAAATGTAATTAGTGCTATATTAATTTTTAATTTATAAAGGAAAATTATATATATATATATATATATATATATATATATATATATATATAATTTTTAATTTCTAAAGAATGAAGTAATTATTGATAATGTTAATTATTGGGGTTAGTGTATTTGTTTGTATTTTTATAAAATATTATATATTAAGTTAAATTTATGTTTAGATATAAAATAATTTAGATGGTGATAAAGTAGATGAAGAAGACAAGCAAACTGCTGATAGATATAGTTTAGACTCCCAATGTAGTAGGCAACCTAGAGAGCATCAAATAACTCTCATTGGAATCTCAGCCATATATATCACCAGCAGTCTCTGCATATTTTTTATTTGTTGTAATTTTCAACCCAATGCATGCGTTATCCTAAGAGCAGAACAAAGCGACGTTATGTTTGTAGGTTCTGTGTGAAGATATTCATAATATTCAGTGCATGAAAAATTATTAATCTTAAACTTTTAAACATTTTTTAAGATTTTAACTCTAATTAAGAAATATTTCCAAAGTAGCTATTAAATAAACCTTTATTTAAAATATTTTATTATCTATAACTCTTTACTTTTGTTATTTTTTTTAAAATTAACTAAGTTTTTAAAGAAATAATATATATGTATGTATATAATTTCAATATTAATTTATAGTTTAATATCAGCTTCTCACTTTCTTACTTATTAGATATTCTTCATCAATTAAATTTAATTTAACATATAATATAATTATAAATATTTTTTTACTTAAAAATTTATTAATATTAATTATTTTGTTCAATATTAAATTTAAAAATATATTTTTTCATATAAGCGGTTAGGAACAAGTTGAATAATTTTAGACCGGTATTTCTAGGGACAGCAACAATACACGCGCCTATAAATATATACTTCTATGAACGTTTATTACATCTCAAACCAAATTTAAGTGCTGCACGAAACAATAAGAAGAACTCGGTGAAGCCGAAAGAAAGAGGAAGAGGATAAGTTAAGTATTTTTTTTATTATTTTTATTTACATCTTTCTTAGATTATTTCATACCTATATTTCCTTTCTCGGTTTCTTCTTTCTTCTCTCTTTAACAATGAATTGTATGAAAGTTGAATCTTTATAATCTGTTATTCATTAATTTAATTGAAAAAATTAACCAGTTGTTTTCAAAATTAAATCGATTATCATAAATTTATATTTAGCTCAAAAATCACTTAATGATAAATTTGTATAATATTTTTTTCTCGGAGAGTCTTTGAATAAAACTTTTGGAACATGACACCAGGGATACTAGATATATTACAGTAAAACAATTGTAAAATCATGCAATGCAGCAAAAACTTTCGGATAATTTGTTATATTCTTGGAGTTTTTAAACATAGATGTTATATAAATTTAATAATTATACTTTTAAATATATTTTTTTGTAAAATAATAGTAAAATTGTATTTTAAATATTTAGTGAAAATATTAGTAGCACCATTCATTAGAGTTTGTGATGATTTCGAATGAGAGTTTATGTGCATCTTACATATCTTCGAAGACATTGAAACTCGTTAGTTCAATACTCATGCATGCGTACTGAGTGATAATGTCATGCAAAATTTAAATGTATTATCTGCTGCAACAAGAAAGAAAAGGTGTCTGCATAAGAAAACAATGTTAACAGATAGAGGCATTCATGTTTGGGGGTCTCGGCTGGACAAGGTTGTCTTTTTCTGATGCAACAACAAAGCAAAGGTGTCTGCAGAAGTTGTCATTATGCACCCATCTTCAATCCAATGAGGTAACTTGGAGATTTAATGCAGAAGAATCTTTGCAAATTTCTCATAAAAAAATATACAACAAATAAAACATATACATACAGCTGTGCAGAGTGTTGATGATAAACAGTCTCTGCATGTGTTCGAATACGAATTATATTTGCGTTGTTCTTCTCAAAAAGCTTTCAGAAAAGGTGAAATTGCCGATTGCATTCATCAATGGAAGCTTCACACACACAGTACCCACTTATTTTTAGCAGTAAAACGTCGCTTTCTTCTCCTCGGATAACGCATGCATTGAATTGGAAAGTACACCAAATGAAACACATGCAGAGACAGTTGGAGACAGCTCAATACATAGGCCTGAGATTCCCAGTGAAATTAAATTGATTGATCTTAACAATTTACCATTCACCATAAAAAACATACACAGACTTAGTTGATCCTTTCTAGGTTAGGTTGCCTGTACATAATAATCTAGGTTAGGTTACGTCAATTGGTGCATGAAGTTGTTAGTTATAGCCTGATCTCCATATTTCAATAATTTCAATAAAGACGTGGGAAATATAATGTGTTTACATTATATTGTGCAATATAAAACTTAACATAACACATTGAAGGTGCATATGCATTATAGGTGTTGTGCAATTTATAAGCATAACATATTGAATGTGCATATACATAACACCAATTCTTGCTAAAATATTGATGTGCCGTGTGCAAGCATGACAATACAAGACATTTGATTTAATTACATTCTATTTGCAGTCATAAACACAAAACTTTATGCATATAAATAACAGATTCAACTTACATAGAATCTATTGTTCAAGAGAGAAGAAAAGAAGAGACGGAGAAAGAAAACATCTATTGTTCAAGTTTAATGGCAAAATCAGGAGAAGATCGATTGAGTACTCTTCCTATTGAATTAATTCATAGAATACTTTCTTTCTTAGATGCAGCAGCTGCAGTCAAGACATGCATATTAAGTAAAAGATGGAGATCCATTTGGAAATGTCTCCCAGTTTTAAATTTAGATGATAATTATTTTCAAGACACTTATGCATTTGATTACTTTGTAGATCATATTTTGTCTCTTAGAGATGATTCTGCCAATTTATACGAGCTCAATGTTGTTTGTCACGAAGAGCTTGAAGACGGTGATGTGATAGATTCCATCATTGATCATGTTACACAGACACCATCTATATTATCACATATTCAGGTTTTAACAATCCAAGCCGAGTGTGTAGTTCAAAATCTTCATAATCTTTCCATCTGTCAATCTTTAACTACTCTAGAGCTTTCTGAAATAGCAATGGAAATCACACCTTTTAATTTCCCTTCTCTTAAATGTTTTTATCTTTTTGATTGTCGATTTGAATCTGGATCGGAGACCTTTTTCAATGCTTTTGAGGACTGTGCTAACCTGGAACAATTGTTTATTGACGATTGTTTCTTTTATGGCGAAATCCAAAACTTTCAAATAGTTGCACCGAAACTTATCGAGCTGAGAATTTCTCACTGGAGAGTGGATGAAGTTTTTGATTCTGACTGTGTTATTGAACTTTTCACGCCAAAACTTCAATTGTTTAGATATCACGACTCTTACATGTACGAGTTTAGCACCGAAGAGAGTCTTTCTTTCGTGGAGGAGGTATATATTGATATGGATGAGTTCAGTGAGGACAAGGATTTATTCCTTCGTTTGACTGAATTGTTTGAAATAATGGAGAGTGCTAAGTCAGTGTTCTTATCCACTAGTATCATTCAAGTAAGTATTATTTCTTTTTCAAATATGGTAATTTTGTTAATAGTTACTTCACTGTCTTATTATAATTTATTTTCTTTTCTATAAATTACATTTGTTATTATTATTTCAGGTTTTGTCCATGTTTTCAAAAGAACTGGCCGAAGAATCTTCTCCTTTCTCGAGAGTTGAAACTATTAAGTTAATCAAAGATTCTTCTTCCTCCTCTTCCTCCTCCTATGCTGTACCTTCTACTGTCATGAATTACTTATTTGGTAAGTCTACTGAATTTGATATCTATGAATGGAAAGGTACGAAAAGCAGGAGTATACAAATTTGTAAGGGTTAGTTTACTCTTACTTTAATTCAGATCACACTTATTTGAAATCTGCTGTTTTATGTTACAGGTGAAAAAAAAGTGCATAAAAAGTTTGGTTGAAGATGGCAACTGTCTAAATCAGAACAATTATAACCTTGGTGATAATTATTTGATGGATCTTTTGGTTGTTATATTGTGAGATCTAATGTATCAGCAACTGTTTGCGTTTTTTTTGTATTGTATATGCTTTAATTTCTGGTACAAGGATTGAGGATTTATGTATTTTTTACGAGATTGCTTCATAATATCCGAACAACACAAAATGTGACAAATCCAAATCAGAGTATTTTTGCAACACCAAACATCACCACATCACGATTTTGATGCTACTGGTTAGGGACTTCATGTCACCCATTCTTTAGATCATTGAATTTCATGACTTTATTCATTGTACTTTGCTTCTGTTGTTCCAGAGATTCTTTGGCATTAAATCTCCAAATTATCTCATTGGCTTGAAAATGGGTCTATATTAACAAAATCTGCAGACACCTTTGCATTCTTGTGGCTGTAGATAATACATTTAATTTTTTTTTACATTATCACTCAGTACGCATGCATGAGTATTGAACTAAAGAGTTTCAATGTCTTTGAAGAAAAATGTAACATGCACATAATCTCTCATTCAAAATCATTAAAAACTCGAATTAATGATGATAATAATATTTACAATTTTACTATTATTTAAAAAAAATTACTGTATTGCATGTTTTTACAATTGTTTTTCAAGCGTTATATTACCCTAAAAGTGTTATCGAACCACTCTAAATAAAATGTCGTACAGATATATCATTAGGTGATTTTTGAGTTAAATAAAAATTTATGATAACAGATTGGAAGAGAGGAGAGAAGAAGAGACGGAGAAAGAAAATACCTCAATATATATGAAATCATTCATAAAATTCTTTCATCTATGGATGCATCGGATGTAGTTCAAACATCTGTTTCGATGGAGATACATTGGGAAATCTCTGCCAATTCTAAATTTATATGATGATTATTTTCAAGACACTTGCATACATCATATATATTTTGTCTTTAAGACATGTTTCTCTCAATTTGTCAATTTGATGTTCGCCTTCAACATTGTTTTAGTTAAACTAAAAAAAATAAGAAGATAAAATAATTATAATAAGTCAACCAGCAATGTTGGAGTTAATATATATATATTTTGTATGAATTATTTATGTTCAATCTATAACTTGAACATCACCAACTTTCAGTGATAATCAATGTTGAGCTGAAAGTGTAACATCCTACTACTGTTACATTTTATTTAAAAATACTGGGGGATATAAATACATTAAATTAGTTATATTACATCTCTAAGTATTTTAAAAGAAGCATTCTCATATTACACAAGTTCTCGATATTTTTCTTTTTTAAATAAACAAATGTAATACTTTTTTTTCATTTTCTCAACTTAATGTTGAGACTGATCACCTCAAATATTATCTATTCACGTGTAATAACACATCCATGTTCATTGTGGTTTAGATTAATATATCATACGAACTAAGATAAATCAGTGTTAAAATTATTTATTTATATGATTATCACAATATATTCTCAATATTCACACCTAAATAAATAATTAAAGCATCATAACTATACAATAAATTAAGTATATAATATCTCAGCATATAAGTTATATTTCATGTCATCGTACATTGACATTCACAATTATAGACACTTACTCTACCTTCGGAAGACACTTTAACTTTAGACTTAGAAATTTGCATTTGTCACATTACCTTCCTTAAGTTGATATCTCCAACATAGTTACATAATTGGAACACGTTTCTTCATGTGACAAAGTAAATTCCTATTATTTGTCAGATATAATTCTTTTTCACACCACAATCTAAGTCATAGAGATCTTCTTCAACTTTCACCACCTGATACTGTTCTCTAAGTAAGTTTAGTTTCAATACAGTTAGGATATCTCCTTCAAAATTCCAAATTCAATATATTACATATATCTCAACATAGTATCTCTTCCTTAAAAACTAATACGTCAACTTTCATCAAGACGTAATATATATAAAGATATCACATGATATTTTTCATATCACAACAATATATTTTTCTATACATATATTAACACCCAATACACATTATTTCATGTTCAATATATGTATTCTATTATCCTAAGTCTTCTAGAATAAGGATTATAAATATGAAGTTTTCATTAAAATCTATATTCTTAAAAAAAATGAAAAATAAAACCTTTATTCATATGAAAAATAGTTTAATGGTGATATATGTTGAAATCTCACGCTATAATGTTATGAGGTAAGAAAGTTGTCTTCATATGTTGCTGCATCTTATCATATATGCCTTAACCCTTGATATTATCTATCTTCTTCAAGCCTATCAAATAATATTAATAAAAACATTTTTAGAATATATATATATATATATATATATATATATATATATATATATAACGTTCTTTCTCATTGGTCATTTCTTTTCTTTTTTTTTGCTTTTTGAAAAAAAAAATCAGTAGAAATTTAAATTTATAATATCATTTTAGAAACACATCTCTCCATAATAAATAAAAAAATTGATATTCTCAATTAAATTGATCTTGTCCAAGTCACCTATTATATTGGAATATCTTGTATGTGTAACATCAATAATAATAATAATAATAATAATAATAATAATAATAATAATAATAAATAAATAAATAAATAAAATCTTAAAAAAACTTCAGTGAAGACAAAGACAGTTGGTGATACATATGAGATTCTCAATAACATTAAATCGATGTTGCATATCTTGTCTACTGCCTCCTGTTACATAATAGAAACATCTATAATAATAATAATAATGTCGAATGATTTAATAAAAATAAAAATAAATTAAAATTATTATTATAATTTTAAAAGAGAATTATTTATAGTAGTTGTACGAATTTAGGTTGTCAAATATATTTTTCATTTTTTAAATGAAACAATTTATAATGTCATTGGGAATGTCAGCCATCTGTATCACCCGCAGTCTCTGCATGAGTTTCACTTGTTGTACTTTCCAATCCAATGCATGCGTAATAAATATTGTTGCTAATAACAAGTAGGTTCTGTGTGAACTGATGCAATTACAGTTTTTGTTCTCTTTTTTTAGACTAACAATACAAATATAATTCGTATTCATACACTCTTTGAACACGTTAAATTCATTCATCTTTGCTAAATATTTATCAGCAATGCTGTCTCTGCATGCTTTTTATTGATTGTATTTTCGTTTGAGGAATTGCCGAAATTATTTCTGCTAACATTGTTTGAGGAATCTGAAAACAACTCATTATGCAGGGATAACCTGTTCCATAGCTTTGATTAGAACGCCCAGTTCAATGCATGGTTATCTTTTACTTCATCCCTACAACAGAATTTAATGACAAATGGTTTACTGTGAAACGCATAAAGAATAGGTTAATTTTTCTCTGTAAAAAAAATAAACAATAAATCTTGTTTAAACGCATGTTTTAATTTAAGATAAAAGAATTTTTACAAAACTTAAAAATAGTAAATAAAAATTTATATATAATACCAATATTAATAGTTTGGCATCTCTTCTGACCGAAACAATAATAAAAAAAAAGATTCGTACTCATGTTAATTTCATCCATTAAATTTATTTTTATGTATATTTTAGAAATGTAATTTTTTTTTAAAGTATTCTATTTTCTTAAAGTTTGATAAAAATAATTATTTAAGATAGACAAATTTGTTTGTTCAACTACAAACTAAAATATTTATTATTATTATAATAGAATGAATATTGATTACAACTACTTATAAAATCTATTGTGTGAAAAGGAGGAACGTTTATCTAGAGTGAGATTATAAATAAGAACCTAAGGTGAGAAGATGGGAAAGATAGAAGGAATGAAAAGATGAAAAAAATAAGTAGTAATTGTTTACATCAAAGAAATCCAAGAAGTTCAAGTTTGACAACGAAGACTAATAGAACGAAGGAAGATTATAAGTTAAGTTTCTTTTTTTCCATCATATTCTAATATGTTTCTCTAAATTTATATCAGCTCCACTTTGTTTGTTGCTACAAATTTTTGAAGATTTAGCTTTTAATTATTAAGGGTAGTGTATAATACAAAATCTTCCCAATTTTTCAATAGGTCAACCTTTAACTACTCTATAGCTTTATGAGATATTCATGGAAGTCTCAAGTTTTGATTTCTCTTCTCTTAAATGTTTTCATTTTTCTTATGGTCGATTTGATTTCCGGTTGGAAGCCTTTTCGATCCTTTTGAGAGTTGTGCTAATCTAGTAAAGTTGTATAATTACTATTGTTCTTTATACGACAAAATCTAGACATTTCAAATCCTTGTACCCAAACTTATTGGATTGAAAATTTTGTGTCTCATAGTGGATGAAGTTTCTGATTCGTTGCTAAACTCGTACATGTAAGAGTCGTGGTATCGAAACCATTGAAGTTTTGACTTCAAAAGTTGAATAACATTCAAAATTAGAAGCTTCATCCACTCTCAGTCAAAAAAATTTCAGCTCAATAAATTTTGGTGCAAAGATTTGAAATATTTGAATTTGGCCATGAATGGAACAATGTCAACAAATAAATATTGCATATTAACACAATCCTTAAAATGGTCGAAAAAGGTGTCTGACCTAGACGAAAAATATGAAAATATTTAAAGAAAAAGAAATTAAAATGTGTGATTTCCGTGGCTATCTCATAAAGTTCTAAAGTAGTAAAAAGATAAAGATTGACAAATTGAAAGGTTAGGAAGATTTTGTAATGCACACTGGGCTTGAATCATTAAAACCTGAATATTTATAATATAGATTGAAAGGTTTGATAAACTTTTTGCCTTTTGAAACAATTGTTTTAAAAGTCATATCTGAAGTAATATTTTATTTGTTGTCGTTTAAGAATATGTTTATTGATGAAGTACGAAGATTGATCTTTTATCTTAAAAGAAGATATCCAATTTGAGTTGATATTACTTTTGTAGATTGATGCAGTCAAATTTGAGTTGATTACAAGGAGCAGTAGAATTGTTTGCTCTATGGTGGTGTGAGGATATGAAATTGAAACATATTGAGATGTCTATTACGTTATTCTGGTGTAATTTTCGCACTCTGTTTGTTCTGTAACTGGCGAAGAAGCACTCTCCCACTCACATTTTTGTGAGCACCTTTTTTTGTTTACTTGTTTTGTATATAGCACAAGTTCAAAGCTTGTATAGGTTTTGTATATAGATTAATCAAATGCAACCCTTTAATGAGTTTAGATGGTACTAATGATCTTGTATGAAGAACACAATTATGAATTTATGATGAAATGGACAAGTTGTTTGGTTAAATGTAATCCTTTAATATTGAAAACCTTTTGTCATAAGACATTATTTGGTTATGAACCTTCTGATTTTATTCTGATCTTTGAACAATTCAAATAAAATTTGTGTTGTTTTTATTTTGTCAATTACGATATATTTACTGGTTAACTATCACTGAAAATAATTATTAAAAAAAGTTTCATATTTATATGATATTAATTTCATTAATTAAATTTATTTCTACTGAAAATAATTATTAAAAAAAGTTTCATATTTATATGATATTAATTTCATTGATTAAATTTATTTCTATGTATAGTTTAGACTTAGTAAATTCTTTTTTATAAATATTCTGTTTAAGACTGAATTATTTAAGATAGATGAGTTGGTGTGCTCAATTACAAATCAAAATATTTATTATAATAATAATAATAATAATAATAATAATAATAATAATAAATAAATAAATAAATATATGATTAAAATGTTTAAGAATATAAAAAGAGAAAAAAGAGAGTATTTATCCAAAATAAGACTATAAATATAAATTTTCTTAAAATGTTTAAGAATAATAGATAGTGATGGAAGATAATAAGTTAATTTGTTTTCATTAACCATTCGTTTAGCTTAAATAATTCAGACTTATCAATTTTTAAGTAAATAAAATAATTATATTTATAAAATATTATTATTTCTTTATTTTTTATATTTTTCAAATATATTATATATTGAATTTAATTAATTAAATGTGAATGATAAATAATTTCTATAAAAAGTTATAATAATAATAATAATAATAATAATAATAATAATAATAATAATAAAGAATGATCATCAAATAGTATTTTTATGGTTTAAAGCTGATTATTACTTTATTAATATACATGATACATATATTTCATTCTATCTTTTATTCATTTTATGTTTTATAATTATTTACTTTTGTTATATATTTTTTTTGAAATTTTAAATTAAGAAAGGAGGAGCTGATTAAACAGAATAATCTTAATGCACTACTAAATATATGTATATTTTAGTGACTGAACAAATCTGTCAAAAAAAAAACATGTAAAATTATACATCATTAGTATTTTGTGATGATGATGATGATGATATATATATATATATATATATATATATATATATATATATATATATAACTGTTCCAAAGGCTTTGAATATAACAATAATCCAAAAATGTATTTTAATATAATTATTGTAATAAAATTTTAAAAAATAATAAATAAAAATTTATATATAACAATAATATTAACATGTTGTTATTTCTCTAAGGGGTGATAATGAAGTTGTATATAAGAAAAAAAAAGTTTAATTGTATGTAATAAAATGTGAATCTTGTAAATCAATTGTCAATTTTAACTAATCAAAAGTTTCATAGTTATTTAATATTAATTTTATTAATTAAAATTATTTTAATATATAATGTATTCATAAATATAAATAAAAAAATCATAATATTATGTAATTATAAATATTTTATTTACTATTAAATATAATAATATTTATTTTTATTATCTATTTTTCTTATATATTACCGTGATTGAATATTAATTAGAAATACATATAAAGTTTATTGTTTAATCCATAACCATGTTGTAAATATTAATAAATTTTATTTTGTACAAGTTGATTATAGAGTTAGATAGGGATGTAAATTTTAAGATAAGGATTTCTGATTGCTTAAACTATAAAACTACTACAAAAATTATAAATATTTTTATTTGAATAATTTTATCCGAAAAAACAAACTATATATACTTTCAGGCTAAAAAAAGTGAATACACATGATAATTGAATTAATTTAAAATCTACATGTTAGTTCATTTAATAAATGTTTTAAAAACTTAAAATGTACTAATTTAGTTCATAGATTGAAATTTCTATATTGATGATATATATATATATATATATATATATATATATATTATTTTATATATTTTGTTATATAATTATATATTTAGAGAAGAATTTATATATTACTTTTGCTAAATAATAAAATTGTAAAAAGACTCAGAAAATAAACGAAATAAATAAAATAAAATATTTTCTCAACTACGAACATGAAACAAAATTATGTAAAAGCTCATTTTATGTAAAATCAGTTTATATAAGAAAAATTTCAATATAAAAAAATTATATTTGAATGTAAAATCATTTTGTGTGTTGATTAAATGGTATATATATTTTTAGACCTTTTTATTTAAAGTTTTTTTTTCTTTCAGAAATCATCTTTTGTCTTGTAGATGACAAATATTAACAGGTTTCAATTTTTCATAAAAATAATAATATATATATATATATATATATATATATATATATATATATATATATTACTTGTAACATAAGACATTATATTTGATATGAATGGGACAATAAATTAAGTGTATACCAAAACTAAAAGATTGAAAAATTCAAAATGTGTAAGACAATATAATATACTTTAAAAATATAATGTTT